GTCCTTCAGAGAACCAGAGGTAAGACTTTTAGAGAAAAATTAAGCCAAATGGATGTTTTCTAACTCCACAGAACTTAAAGATTTTTAACAATTTATAAACAGTATAATTTTATACTTAACTTTTGATCTTACTGAGTTAAAATGTATGACTAATTTATATGCAAGTTTGAAATGTGTCTAGGAACTTCAGTACAAGCTTAGAAACTATGGTATAGTTAGGTTTATATAGAGCATAGCATGAGTATACACAAACTTTATATAAAAAGAAAAAGATTTTAAATGTTATGCTACTCAATTTGGTTAAATTGGTTACATTTCTGATGCTTAATACAGTCAAAACATTTTTAACTTGCATTTTACCTTGTCTTAGGAACTGCTTTATGAAGTAAGACTCCCCTGCCTGTTAATTCTGGGAATAAATTGCAGCTAAAATGCTCTATGACTTAGTGCTTATTTATATTTTTCTTTCCATATCTAATAATTCTGTGGAACTTATTTCTTTAGAAAAATGTTAAAATATTTCAACCAATGAATTATTATTTAGCTACTGCCACCCTCCTTGCTTTGTCTGAAGTCATTGTGGTTTTTAAAAATCTCTGTGAACTTTGTCAAAATAAGTTGATTTTTATGCCATTTTCTTTAATTTTGACAGTTGACTTAATATATGGGTTTTCCATTTATACTGTATGCTACAGTTTATATAATAGTGTCCCTGTTTTCCATTAACTGCATACATTTATCTTGATTGTAGTGATGGTTTTGTAGCTATATATGTATATCAAAACTTATACATTTTAATTATGTACAATTGTGTATTTTCAATATATGCAGTTTGTTGTACACTTCAGTAAAGCTGTATATCATACATACATACACATCTTGCTAATTAAAATAGCTGCCATGTTTAGGAGGTTTGCTTTCATTTGATGTGGTTTAGCTTTGGTTTTGTTTTCCTGTTTGTTTGGTTTTGGTTTTTGCTTGTATGTTTTAGTTTTCTCAAAATGTCTAAGCATTTCCATTGATTACAGCAAGTCATACCTGGTCATCAGTGTAAATACTGAAACAGATCAAAATTTGGCCTTGAAGAACTAGTCTTTTTTGTTTGGTGTCAGACACTAGCTGTGTTTTTGTCACACCTTTATTCCAGAGATTAAAACAACAGGAATATTGTCAGGTTTTTAGGGCTGGCCACACAGCCTTATATAAATAACTGAATTGGACTATTTCAGTTACTAAACAGAAAGGGAAGAAATTCTATGTGATCTTAACTCATTTTTATCTTTTTTTAAGTAACTTTTTTCATCTTATTTTAAAGTTCTTGCCAGATAAAGGAGAAAATTATTTATCTAGTAACCCAAACTAATAAACCTAGACACATACTATTTTAATTTAAGTGTCTTGATTTGGTTGACTGTAGAAGAGACCCTCCTGAAATACATCGTCTAACAGGGCACCATTTATAGAAGAAACCTTTTTACAACAAAAACTGAGTTCACAACAGAAATATTCCATGTGGTTGCTTTTATGTGCAAGGTACATCCTGGTAAAAGATTTTAAATTGACCGTAACAATTTTCTGTTTATAGATAATTCATAAAATACTTTAAGGCATAAAATCTGACTTCAAGTACTTTAGTAAAATAAACAGATTGATTAAAAACTCAGTCTCAAGTAGATTCCCTATAAAAATGCATGTGATTGCCTAGCTAAACTAGATAGTCTGGTTAAAAGCTAACCTAAATAAACAACATAAATTTATGTTAGAGGGTGCTGAATGTTTTTTCCCCGCCTAAGTGAACTTTTGCCCTGGTGAAAGGTTACCTATGATAGAAAGTTCCTTGAGCATGTAAAATTTATTGGTATTTTTTGTTCCCGTAGATTTTCAGATTGTCTTTTGAAGAGATTGTATAGTTTTAATATCTATACCTGTTCTTTAAGCTTCTTTTGTTCATCATAGTGTCGTTAACAGCACTCCAAATAAAAATAAACAACTACAGCAACAAAACCATTATGTAGGCCTTATTTTGAGTGATGGTAGTAAGATAGGTAGACTCCCGCTCCCCTTTTCCTTCATCACCTCCAAACCCTGTACCTGCATCCTGTGTATGTAGAGTATCAGGTGTAGGTTTCATATCAGTTCTCAGAAACTTCGTCTTCAAAATTTGTGTTGCGACAGTGCAGATGTTTAGATTCTTAATAACCAAACCAAGATCATTGAAAGGGTTTGTTTGAACCTCTGAAGAAAAACTACTTCTGGTTGTAGCTCACATGGGCCAAATCTTCTAACCTGTATTTTAAAAGATAAATTTTTGTCCCAACCCTATGGGGGACTCATGAATGCCTAATCAATCCATATCACTTTTCCACAACTTTTTTCTGTATTATATTTTTTCAAATAGTAGGTATATTCTGAAATTAGTAGAGAACCATAATTTAGTATTACATCTTCACATTTCAATCACACTTTTTAAGTTATTCATTAAAAATTGTCATACTTTTGAAGTATGTGTGCTAAATGTTTGTGTTGTGTCTGTCAATCACCCTTAACATGTCCTTTTAGTAAGACAGGAAAGTTACTGTTGGATCCCAAAAAGTATGTGTGAAATGTACAAAGGTGTCCTCCCACTGCCCCCACCGCCACCACGCACATTCCCTGTTTTAGTGCCCTTCTTTCTTACCAAGGCTTTTTAAGTCTCACACTCTACTGATAGAGCTAAAACTAAGGCGCTCTTACCAAGGCATCTAAGATTAGATAAACTCTAACGACTAACATGTCCTTTGTAAAGAAGTGAGATTGATTATGGATGGGTTTCTAAAGGACTACAGAACATACTTAACCACCAAATACTGCTTAATATAATATCCTGCCACACTAAAAAGACTGCATAAACAAAGCCGCAATACTTCAGAAAGATTCTTTAGATATGTTTACATTTATCTAAATCTAAATTCTGTAGTTTTAAGTTTAAATCTATAAAGAATTTTATCATTAATTTGATATTATGTAATAAAATAGATACCAAATATTCTTTGCTTCCCACCTAAGCTAACTATTCCTCTTAAATTCATATTCCTTTTAAACTGAAATTAAATATTTTGTGACTTACTAAGAAGTCAAATTTGTTATGTTTTTAAACAAGGAAAAGGAATTAACTAATCTCTCTGTCCAAAAAGTGGAACAGAACTTCTGATAACTGCTTTTCTGCTTTGTTTCTAGTTAAGGTTGGCATATCTTATTTTGTGAGGTAACTATATCTCCATTTAAACAGAAGACTCTTTGTACTATCTTTACTAAATAGAAAGGAATGCCTTATGGTAGACCTTCTGCTCATGCATGTGTCACTTCAGTCTTGCACAGATGTATATTATAAAGGCATTCACACGTGTCATTGGCCACACAGTGTGTCATTTTATTACATATCTTGAAAGTTTCTTTTTCAATTCATTTAACATTTGACAATAGTGGCTTTATATTCAGTTTTACTTTGGAGTTAATTATTTTGGTGCAGGGGGAGGGGCATGATGACGTGGGGGATGGGTGGGGATGGTCAATAGCTCTACCTCTTAAGACCTTCAAAGCCCGAATTGATTATCTGCAAAACCACCTTACTTTAGTAGTTGTCCTTCATTTTTGATGTGTATGTATACCTTTAGGAGCTTTAGTAAGCCTAATTGCTTCTGTGATTTTAAGTTTATTTCCTGAGAATTTTAACTCTTTCTGCCACTTTATTCTTAAAGTACTCTGTAGGGGATTATTTTTACCCAATTTCCACAAGTCTTATTTTTTTTATATGACTTTAGTCATATCAAAGAATTTTTAGAAAAAAAAGTTTCATCTGTCATTTTTAAATGTTAATTTTTAAGTGGTAATTTTAATATAAATTTTTAATTATATGTCTTTCTGAATTCTCATCAGAATTATTTTGTCAAGTGTGCCACAGTTGTCAAAGGCATCAAATACAAACAAATAATTATATTTCGTAGACATTCTAAAGGATAGGCCTGTTTTATGACGTGGCTCTCTTTATTTCAATAGCTGTATGAGTCACGTAATTGTATGCCTCCATTCTCATGGCAGTAAAATTAGAATAATACATTTTGTAAACTTTGAGAACCTGACTAAGTGATGTGTTTGCTATACTGTTATTTTTAAAACAGTACATGTAGAAAAATAACTATTTCTCCTGAATGTGTGTATATTTTTCCTTTAATAAATTGGATGTATGAAGGAAAATTAATTATTTATAAATCTCAACATTTACATAGTAAGTGGAAGTATTTCTAAGAAAAAATATTAGTAATAGCTAAAACTTAGTATATTCCAAGCACTGTTCTGAGCCCTTTAAGCATATCTTATTTGATCTTCACAACTTTAAAGAAGTTCTAATACCAACCCCATTTTACAGATGAGAAAACTGAGGCCCAGGGTGTTACCTAGCAAGTGCTAGAACCAGGATTTGGACCCAGTCAGTCTGATTCCAGAGCCTGAATGCTCTCTTAACCGCTGTTCCCTACCTGAACACTTCCTATGACAGACCCAACTGCAGTTAGTTGTTCCATTTCAGAGTCGGACGTATTCATTTGAAAGCATTGTCTAAATAAATTATCTAAGAATAAACTGATAAAAAGTCTGGGATTTGCTTTAAAATATTCCAGTATATAGGGGCAGACATGAAACAAATTGTTAAACCAAAAACTGGTGAAGCTGAGTAATTAAGTGAATGGTTCATTATGCTAGTCCACATTTTTGTGTATGTTTGAAATTTTTCATAATAATGCGGTTTTTTAAAAGTTAATCTCTATATTAAACTAAAAAGCTTTATAGAATTTTAGAATCTAATTTCTTTGTTTTAATTTCAGTTTTTCTTCTGTCTGATGATATTTGTTACAGTCTCAGTGATAATTGAGATATTTGGCCATTCTCAACCATTTATATTTTAATAAATGACTGCTACTCATTAGTTCTTAGTATTTTAACATAATCTGTACTTGTTTTTACAGGAACCAAGCAATAAAAGAGTTCGACCTCTAGCTCGGGTAACGTCCTTGGCAAATTTAATCTCTCCTGTAAGAAATGGAGCTGTCAGACGTTTTGGTCAGACACTACAGGTCAGTGGAGGAGAGGATGAGGAGTGAGTAATGTAGGGAAGGGAACATTTTATAGAAGCCTACAGTTTGTATTTTTCTCTGAGTTATACAAACAGGTTTACACTATTATACTTAAATATAAGTTTTCTTTTTGGAAGATGCTGGTAAGAAATGTAGTTACTCGAACATATTTGTATAACCTCAGTATATTAGTTTGTGTCATATCAAAGCATAGCCTTGAATATAAGGTACAAAAAGTAATTTTGGCTGATAATACTTTAAAATGATAGATTGAAGCTTGGATAAATAATTGTTTTATGCATTAAGAAATTGTTAGAATTTTGTTTTTATTTTGTCTTTCTGTTTTAAGAAAAAGGAATAATTACTGTATCTCCCAAATCTTTTCTCTTTTATTCATCTTTTTTTTCTTTTTCTTAAGTCATTTACCCTTCGTGGTGACAGCAGATCTCCAGCTTCTGCTCAGAAGTCATCAAGCAGATCAACAGTCCCAACACCTACCAAAAGGAGAAGTAGTGTGCTATGGTCAGAGATGTTTGACGTCAGTATGAAGGAGTCTTTAACTGCCAAAGAAATCAAACGTCAGGAGGTATGCTGGCATTCAATAGCGAGACAATATTTATTGATTTACATTTTAAAACATAGTCCCTGTTTTTTAAACATATGTTTTATGAGAAGAATAGCAAACTAATGCCTGTAGCAAAAATCAGCTTGCATTTTTGTATTCAAGAAGCAATTAATAACACATGCTGAGCAGCACTTTCTGATGGGTGGTGGGCATCAAACTCAACCACTCTTAAGGAGAGGGTAAAATTATGAAACATGGCAACCTCTTTGAAGATTCCATTGTGAATTATAGGCTTCAAACTGAGTCACTTTATAGAGCACTGTTCAAAACATCAGTTAAATAATGGTAAATATCAGTTGTATATAATTTTTCTTTCTCAGAGGAAGAAATGGCCTGTAATGTTGACTGGGTTTTTTTTTAATTTAGGCAATATATGAAATGTCCCGAGGCGAACAGGATTTAATTAAGGATCTCAAGCTTGCAAGAAAGGTCAGTAAATAAGTTTTTATCGTATGCCCTAATTTTTAAAAATTATACTTCACAAATTCTAAAGGATAGTTTTCTTACCTTTAGAAGAAGAAAAGTAGAAAATATTTACTGGTGTGAATGTTTTCTTAGATGAGATTTATTACACCTTCAAATATGAATGTCAGTCATTCAAGGACAGATCTCTCATTGTGTTTTATTTGCTTGATCTCTTTGTATGACACATTTCTTCCCCTCTGATAGGCCTACCATGACCCCATGTTAAAGTTGTCTATTATGTCAGAAGAGGAACTAACACAAATATTTGGTGATTTGGATGCTTATATACCTCTGCATGAAGGTAAAATATGCAACTTAATTTTCATTGGTATCTGAAGTAATTTTAAATCTAAACTGCTAATTTAGTCCTGAATTATTTTAAAAATAAACCTGTTATTGGTATTTCTGCTCTTTTACACTTCAGATTTGTTGGCAAGATTAGGAGAAGCAACCAAACCTGATGGAACAGTAGAGCAGATTGGTCACATTCTTGTGAACTGGGTATGTAGCAAGTTGTTTGCTTTGGGTAGTTTTTTTACAGATAGGCCATACTTGTGATTTCTGATGAATATCGGGCTGATTTTATCCAGTAACTGGATTCTAAAATTAGATAAACAAGTCATTAAAACTGAAAAAATTTATGTAATGATAAAACATTATAGCCTGTTTTAAAAAATACTTTATGAGTGATAAAAAAAATAAAAATATCTTCCTCCTTGTACAGAATCCCCACAATATATGCCATTGTTTATCTATTTCATTCTGTTGCTGGGCACTGTTCTAGGAGGGATCATTGGAGATTCAGTGATGAAACACAGTTTCTACATTTATAATCTAGTGAGAAAATAGTCGAGTATATAAACAGTCTCTGGGCTGGTGACCGATGTGGCCAGTGTTTGTTGAGAGGAACACTCAAGTGTCCTAGGAGTACAAAAGACTAGCATCTAGCTGAGATGGGGGAAAGTAGAAGTCATGAGTCTTTGGTTGGATTTAGCCAAATTAGAGAAATTGGAATAGGGCATTCTGATGTCAGCCAGAACATTTTCCTACCTCCATTATTACCTACAGGAAAATTTTCATACCTTGTTAAAACTTCTAAGAATAGCTGTAGTTTTTGTGTTTCATGTTCACAGGCTTACTAATGGACTAAATCCCAACAGAAACTTACCGTACTCCTTATTTTTCTCTTATTACTCTGTAGTTGCCAGGCTTGAACGCGTACAAAGGCTACTGCAGCAACCAGCTGGCAGCCAAAGCTCTTCTTGATCAAAAGAAACAAGATCCAAGAGTCCAAGACTTTCTCCAGCGATGTCTTGAGTCTCCCTTCAGTCGAAAACTAGATCTTTGGAGCTTCCTAGATATTCCTCGAAGCCGCCTAGTCAAATACCCTTTACTATTAAAGGAAATTCTTAGACACACTCCAAAAGACCACACTGATGTTCAGCTTCTGGAAGAAGCTGTAAGTAGTGAAATACATGATTCCTATGTTTTGCACATATATATGTGTATACATATATATATATATTAGCTTGCCTTAGAAAGGTTTACAATGATAACTCTCAAATTTTATGCGTATTATATCAACATAGTGAAGTTTTCTGTTGTTTTAAGTACCCAGTATGTTAGTACATTGCATATTAAGCATAAAAAGATGTAACACATTTTATATTTTAATCACAAGGCTGGACTCTAATCCTATCTCTTTTCTCTAGCTGGCTCTGTGACATTGGGCAAATCACCCAATTTGGCTGAGGCTTTTTTCTTCATCTGTAGAATGAAGGGACTAACTGAATTTACTGATTTCTAGAGTCCCTTTAACCTTTAAAATTCTACCATTTTAATGAGACATTGTAGCCTTATAGTGGAATAAGGTAATAGGCTAAAAATGCTCCATCAATGTTTTGATAATTTTTAGATATTGATAATACAAGGCGTTCTCTCTGATATCAACTTGAAGAAAGGCGAATCAGAATGCCAGTATTACATTGACAAACTGGAGTATCTGGATGAAAAGCAGAAGGATCCTAGAATTGAGGCAAGCAAAGTATTGCTTTGCCATGGGGAACTGAAAAACAAAAATGGACATGTGAGTATATTTGAATGCTAATGTCAAATGAGCTATTACTTCTCTTTCCCATATTTAAATTTTCCACATAAATTCTAAAGTAGGCTTGTAAAATAAATTCCATACATAATGAAAGTTACTGGTTATCAGTTTTGATGAAGCAAATATATGGTTTCTGTCATTACAGAATGACTTAAATGCCTCGGTGGAGAATCAGTAATACTTTATTTTTTAGTTTGGAAACATAAGCCATTATTAACTTGTTTGGCTAGAGATTCCTTTCTAAATAAATTGTTAGATTCATAATGTTTGATAAAAAAGAGTATTTAAAAATATTTTGTGGAATTTACTTTATAGGGACATAAGTCATTTTTAGCACTGCTAAACAAATTTCTGCATCAGGTTGAATGAAAACAAATACATTTTTAAAATAATTCCAAAAGTATAAGCATGGATAGTATTTTTGTTTCATGAAGTATTTTTCAGAAGCTCAGTTTGTAAGTTGAGGTTCTTTTAGGAAAAAGTTGAAATATGATACCTCTGATTTCTGTCATGAGGCCTAATTGTTTTAAAAGGCTTAAATTTGTGTGTGACAAAACAGAACCATTAACATTTTTACCAGCTTGCATTTTTTAATACATACTTTGTTGGAAAACTGTGATGTATAGTACGGCTGTTTCCAGTCTTGTTTCTGCTGGCGATCAGGTCTTTGTGAGGAATAACATTTACTCAGGCTATTTAATCTCATGTTACACACCAATTAAAAAAAGTTTTAAATAGTCTGAGATCTGAAATGCTCTCCAAGTAGAACGTGCTCAGCGTTGAAATCATCATCTTTAGGGGGTCATTTCTAAGGGTATCTTTAGTAAATTACTGCGGTGAAATTAATGTCAAATCAAGTTATTTTAACAATGGATTTCAATCACCTATAAAAAAGTTCCATACTTAGGAAGCATTGGTCTCCCATTTCTCCAGAAACTTTACGTTTTCCTGTTTCAAGACATCTTGGTGTTGACCCGGCCTGTTACACGAAATGAGCGTCATTCTTACCAGGTTTACCGGCAGCCAATCCCAGTCCAAGAGCTGGTCTTGGAAGATCTGCAGGATGGAGATGTGAGAATGGGAGGATCCTTTCGAGGGGCTTTCAGCAACTCAGATAAAGGTAACAATACTAGCTTTAAAACAGTTTAAAAACAAACTCAGAACCTAAATAAATTTAGTTTTAATCTTTTAGAATTCTCCCACACACACACAAAAACAAAATTAAAAATGAAATGGCTTCCATTGTCCTATGCAAACTATTACTCTCATGGAGCTGATAAGTGCTTCTCTGCTCTAACACCAACATGTGTATCTGTTAAGTCCTATATGGGCTTTTTCCATGTTTCTGCCTAATTGATTTGCATGTTATATAAATAACCAGCACTCTTGTTAAGATGGTATGACCACTTTATCTGGGATAAACTTTTTTTTTTAAATCTACTTTCTTTTTTTGTTTGTTTGTTTCTCTAGCTAAAAATATTTTTAGAGTTCGCTTCCAAGATCCCTCTCCAGGCCAGTCACACACGCTGCAAGCACATGATGTGTTCCACAAGCAGCAGTGGTTCAACTGCATTCGCACTGCTATTGCCCCTTTCCAGCAGGCCACTAGTTCAACCGAGCTGCAGGGTTTGCCAGAGCTCCATGAAGAATGTGAAGAGAACAACCCCTCTGCCGTGAACATCAGGGCCCAGAGAAGCGCATCCGTGGTGTCCAGTGTGACACAGGTTGAAGGTGATGGAGATGCTTCAGAATGTGTCTCCCTGGTGCCCACAGCAGACAACATTAAGAGTGTCAAAACACAGCGAACACAATGTGGCTTCCAAAAAGCAAGGGACAAAGCCCAGTTCAGTGGCAAACGGAAAGAAACTTTGGTATAACTGGTGGAGAAACTGTTTATTTATAAATGTGTACAGTTTGTTTTTTCTTGTAATGTGAGCATGGGAGCATTGCAGGGTTACTTAATATCAGTCTTAACATTTTTGATGTTTTTGGTTGGTTTGGTTGTTGTTCCTTTCTTTTCTATTTTTTTTTAAAGGCAGCTAAATATATATATATATACACACACATATATACACACACACACACACACACACACAGATTACTGTTAAACTGCAGTCCTTTTTTATATCTTCAGATATTTTATCAGATGATTTAGAACATTGAAGCCTGGTATTTTTAATCAAATGAAATATTTATGAAATGGGTTTTCATTCTGCATCATGACTTCAGTACCAACCAATTGTGATATTTACATTATTTGCCAAAACTTAAAATTTTGCAAAAACCAGAATTTTACCTGTGTTTCTTTGATAAATTTTGTGTGCAGAATTTGAAATTTTAACCTTGGCACCTAAAATGTACATGGAATACCTGTAATATATCAGAATGTACATTGAAACATAAGTTCCTTGGAAAACAAACCATAAAACTTAATAGGTTTCCCATTTTACCAACTGGAATCCCTTATATTAGTTTGTTTTTTACTACACATTCCTCATTTTTTCATTCATTTTACTTGCCAATTATTTAATTTTTTTATTTTAGTTTTTAGTGTTTGCTTTTATTTTTTTACTTTGATGCCTTTTCAAATTGGCATGTCTTTAAAATATTTTTCTTCCTTGATTAAAAAATGTGTGTTTGTGTGTGTGTGTGTGTGTGTGTGTGTGTGTGTATAAATATATTTTTTAAATCATATTAACTTTACCGAGTGAAACCAAGCCATACTGTTTTTGAGCCAATTAAGAAAATTGTCATTTTTAAAGTATAGCAGTTTGGAGTGATGAACACACAAGAACTGACTCAGTATATTCTGAACTGCTAAAAGAAAACCACCTTAAGGATTTTGTTGAAAGTTTTTAGTGCTACCTGAAGAGCAAGAGAGAAGGCAGTTGACTGGTAATAAGTTTTTTTTTGTTTTTTTGTTTTAAAAGGAGGGGAAAAGAGAGTAGTTTTGTCTTAAAGGAAAAATGTCTGGTTGTGCCAGAACATGAAAGCCGATAGTAAAAGCTAAACTTGAGGGTATGTAGTAAGTTGTAGAAGGCTTGGGGGAAGTGAACTTTATTTGCTTTGGTTTATAATGCCTGCAAATAATGGGTTTGAAGAGACAATGAAATATGTTGTAATTTTGACAATACAGGTCAATTTTGGTGGACTTATTCATAAGAGGAAAAATACTGATTAATCTTTTACAGTGTAAAATGTTCCTGTTCAAATGAGATCCTAGTCGTTAAGCGGGGACTAAAAGCTCTGTGTCATGGCAGATTTATAATGGTGATCAAATCAAGTAAGTGTTGGCTGTTATGTGGAAGAGGAAATTGAAAAAGACTGTAAATAGATCAATCCAAATGATTTCTCTGTATAAATGAATTATACAATTAAAAAAAAAAAAGCACACACATAATCACCCTTAAAGGTTTCTTGGCTAGTGGATGTTTGGGGGACATTTGCCAAAATATGTTAGGATGATAGAGGAGGTAATGGCAGACCTCACAAAAGTTTTAAAAATTATACATACTTAAAACTTTGCACTTCATTGATGAATAAGAGAAATATTCAGTTAGGTCATTTTGTGCATCTTACTCAACTATTTAGGATGCACTATAATCAGAAATAGCAATTGGATTGAAGACAGCTATGAGTATCTGGCCACTCTGTGTATGTGATAGTAAGGCTAATAGCAAAGCATCCTGATGAATTTGATTAATTTCAAATTTTAATTTAGGCGTCTCAGATTTCTAACTATGACTTAAGAGACATATCAAACAATTGCAATGTATGGACTAAATTGGATCCTAAATTGAGCAAACTCTTAATAATACAATTAGAAATATTCAGTATTGACTGGATATTTGAAGTTCAGTAGTATTCTGATTACAGTCCTCTTAGAGACAAATTCTGAAATATTTACTGATAAAATTGTATGATATCTAGGATTCCCTTCAAAATTACAGGGCAGGAAAATGGTTGGAGCTGAAAATGAAATAAGATTGGCCATAAGCTAAGAATTACTGAAGCTGGATGAGACACTGAGAATTCATTATAGTCCTTGCATATCTTTTTGTATATGTTTGACATTTTTCACTAAAAAAGGAAAAGGATTTAAGGAATTTTGCAGGTATTTAGTGAGTTTTCAATTCCTCAACCTCTTAACCCCCTCTAGGTCCCCAGCCTTCACTTTGCAAAGTCAGAATGTTGATCAAACACAGCTGCCTTTGCTGTCTACCAACACACAGAAACCCAAACGTTTTGCCTAAATTCAGCACTCATATCCTCTTCATTACACCCTGGCAGCAGTGTTAGACTAATCTGGACTCTAGTTTAATTCACATGGCCCTTTCATCCTCTACTTTTTTTTTCCTGTATCTCTCTCTCTCTCTCTCCCTACCACCACTTGTTTTCTTTGCATACCCTTTTTCTCTGACACACAAACACGGAACTACAACTGTAAACAAGGTACTGAGAAAGGTATGTTTCCAGTTCATGCCATGAAGCAATTCCATGTAACCCAACCCTGAGAATTTCCACATTCCTGTCTCTTAAGAAAGGAACTAGCATTATAACATCTAATAATGTTTGTGCTGTTGAATAGACCAGAAAGTAAGACAAAAATAGCTACATTTAAAGAATTCTGATAATCCACCGTAGAATTCTTATTTCTCCATAGCTGTTACTGGGGGCAGGGGAAAAGGTTTTCAATCCCCTCCTTCACTGAGTGAGGCAAGCAGAGAGATGAGTCACATTAGATCTGAGCATTTAGTCTGCTCCCTTCCTTACTGTCCAAGGCATCTGAAATGTGAAAACATCAAGTAAGTGACATGCCCAAGATCGTGCATGTGGTATGTGGCAATGTGCGAATGAAAGGCAGTTATGTACCAGTTCACTATTCTCGCTTTTGAACCAAGCATACTTGTCACCCCAAGATCCTTCCAACCCCTCCCCAGGCTACCATCATTCAGGGGTCCATCACTCTGGCGGAAGACCTTATTTGTCTTTCACCCCAGGCCCAAGCATCTTGAGTTTACACTGCTGCCCAGTAGTCCCAGCTCATTCAGCACCATGACTCTTCAGCTTCCTCCAAGAAGTTGACTAAACCCACCATGCCTGCTAGCTCCAGTGCCCCATGCCTTCCAAGATTAACTCACCAGATACAGTCTTCCAGCAGCATATGCCTCCTTTTGAAAACACCTCCAACTCCTGTGCCAGCACATTTCTCCTACCTTCCTAGCATCTTCTCTCCTTTCAACTCCTCTTCCAGACCTCTGAATGTTGGAAAGACTCAGCACTAGGTGCCCAGACCTCTTTTATTATACTCCTGGACAATCTGATCCATTCCCATGATTTGAACGTCACCAACACCCAACTACCAAGTTTCCATCTTCAGTTCTCACCTGTTGCTGAGCTCTAGACTCACTACGCAGCAGCCTATCTGACATGCCTACTTGGAAGTTTGCATCTCGCACTTGACCCAAGAGAACTATTGCTTGTTCATTCCTAAACTTGTCCTCCCCTAAGTTTCCCATCGCGGTAAATATGACCATCCAACCTGGTTCTTCTCACCCCATGACCACTCCATCTATAAGCCCCATCACCTCCACTTCCACGATATATTTAGAATCCTACCACTGCCCACAACTTCCATTGTTCCAAGTTAGCATTAGCTGCAGTAGCTGTCATGAGGAATAGCAATAGCCTCCTAACTGGCCCCACACTCCACTCCTGTTCACTCCACTCTCCGTATGGCAGCCAGGTGATTTTTCTAATCCTAAAAATCATACATTTTCACTATGAAATATTTGCAAAACTCAGAAAATAAATCCCCTGAAGAGAGTGAGAAGACATTCAAACCTCAACTCCACAGACTGGGAGAAACATTTGTAAAAAATACATCTGATAAAGGACTGTTATCTAAAGTGCACAAAGGAAAATCTTAAAACTCAATAATAAGAAAAAGAACAAATGAATTTTGAAATGGGCAAACGCCCTCAACACTCACCAAAGAAGACATACAGATGGCAAATTAAGCATGGAGAGATGCTCCATATTGCATGTTGTTAAGGAAATACAAATAAAAGCAACAATGAGATACCACTACACACTTAGAATGTTGAAATCCAAAACACTGACCACACCAAATGCTGGTGAGAATGAAAAATGGTGCAGCCACTTGGAAGACATTTTGGCAGTTCCTTACCAAATTACAGACATAGGATCCAGCTATCTGATATTTACTCAGAAAACATGCACTCAAAAACCTGCAGCGTTATGCATAATTGCTAAAACTTGGAAGCAATTAAGATGTCCTTGGTGAGTGGATAAACTGGTTCATCCCAGCAATGGAATATTATTCAGCGCTAAAAAGAAACCAGCAAGCAATGAAAAGACATGGAGGAAAATTAAATGCACATTAAGTGAAAGAAGCAGATCTGAAAAGGCTACATACTGTATGATTCCAACTCTGTGATGTTCTGGGAAAGGCAAAACTACAGAAACAGTGAAAAGATCAGGAGTTCAGGGTAGGGGAGGAATGAATAGGTGAAGCACAGGATTTTTAGGGCAGTGAAACTACTCTGTATGACCCTGTAATGGTGGATACATGTCATTAGATATTTGTCAAGTAGAATGTGTAACACCAAGAGTGAACCCTAATGTCAGTTATGGACTTTGGGTGATCATAATGTCAGATTCATCAGTTATAACAAATGTACCATCTGGTTTGGGATATTGACAATGGGGGAAGTTGTGCATTGGGGACATATAGGAATTCAATACTGTCCACCTAATTTAGCTGTGAACCTAAAGATGCTCTAAAAAATAGTCTGCTTTATTTAGAAAAGAATTACCCAGACCCAGGGGGAAAAAATGCACCATTGAGAGTGCACATCCTTCATAGCTAGACATCAAAACTGAAATAATACTGTAGATGTTCTACAAACATTGAATGTAAATGCTTAGCATGGTGACCTGAGCCTGTCCGGTGTCTGGGCCACAAGCCCTCACTCAGACTGTAGCTGCTTAAGAGAAATGGTGCATACAGAGGTCAGAGTGTTGCTCTAATGCCGAGCCCAGCTGGCCAGAGTAGACTGCACCTCCGATTCCCAAAGAACCAGAATCTAAGGCATAAATGTAACTCCAGGGCCCACCCTTCACAAGTAGGGACAAGGCAAGTGGGAGTAGGGGGAAGACAGTGACAGTGTCATCCTACATAACAGTGTCCACAGCAACACCCCCGTGTCTTTGGCCTTCCCAGTTGAGTCTGGTACTAACTGAACTCTGTTTTCAGCTAACTTGTACCAACCCCCAGCCGAGGCCCACTGCCTTTGCATCTCCCTTTTCTCCTATGCCTTCTGGTAGAAGAGGGAAGCCTAATGAGAGTCAGAAGCAGGGCCCTCTCTCCTACCACCATGAAGTAGGCCCGGCACTGCAGCTCCAGCCCTCCCCCTAGCCCAGCAGGGTTGAGTGGTGAGATCATGAAGGATCAGGCTGTACCCCTTTGGTTGGGTTATTTCTCTCCCCTCCAGGCCCATTCTCTGCAGTTTAAACTATAGCTGTCTGTTGAGCACGACTTGAAAGGTTGGCGTCGGGCCTCCTTCCACTCCTGGAAGCAGCTCCAGGGCTGGAAAAGCGTCTGTTATCTGACATCGCTTACCTTTGCCAACCATCATGCATAGACCCTGTCTGTCTTCTCTTGGCAGAATCCACTCCAGCCTCCAACACCACCACCCCCGCCCACCAGGCCCACATAGGTTCTCTCTATCTTGGGTGATTTCCAGGTATGAGCTCAGCCCACAGCTCTCCACCCAGCTGTCCAGAGACACATGGAATCCGTGATGACTGCCGGAGGGGAGGGAACAAGTCTCAAGGGGCTGTGGAGAGGGAGAAGGGGAAAAGGCAAAGGGCAGGAGGTACCCCAGGATCCACTCTAGATATCGGAGAACTAGACGTAGAGTGGAGCTGCAGCCCCACTTTCTTCCCCTAGTTTCTATCATGTCTCAGATGTCCATGTGCCATGTCTATGCACAGGACAGGAGGGAGGATTTAGCACAGTCTCTGCCCCAAAGGAATATGTCATTTAAGACAGTGAAGCTGGCCACAGGACAAACCTCACAAACCACACGTATAATAAATAGCTAGTGTATTACTCTTCCAGAGCATCAAAGGTAGAGCACGTTTTA